TTGTTTAACAACAAAGACTGCTGTACCTTCAATGATCCACATAAAATCTACTTCTTTTCAAAATGGAATCTTGCACGGAAGGCTGAGGCTGGTAGTATATCGGATGAACAGACTATAGTGCTTCAATCGTTTAGGTATCCTTTGCATTCGTCGCAGTATAGACAGGATGTTCCATAATAGTCACTGTTTGATCAATAGTTTATAAAACTTCCTATTTTTTCCTATGTCTTCGTAATTCAAATGGCAGAACCAACTTCAACCTGGATTTGCTAGCGAATCTTGTATCTGCTGTTAGAATTACGGAACAAATTTGTAGGTGGCTTCAAAGTTGGCGTAGCATAGATCGCCCCTGATATATCATAAAGCGTCGTGAAGTTATTCGTTAAAATATTGGGATTGTTGAACTCAGGTATGATAGCCTATAAGGTCGTAATATCTTGTACGAAGGTTACAGTGTTCACTCAGTGTAAAATCGCTAAGACTTTAGACTGCACTACCGTCATCACCGAAGTGCATAGTCATTCTTTGAGATTAGGCCCAAGCGTTCTTTGAAGAGTTATTAAGGCCTAAAAAGACTGGCAATAAAAAAGTTATTAACGGTTAGTGATAACATTTTACTGTGACACCCTTTATCAGAACAATAAATTTCTTACGAGTTTCAAGTAAGTGTTCAAGGCAATACCGTCATTGACATACTTGCAATTTAGCATCATTTACCCTTACTAGTATCATATGCATTAAATTTCAGTTATTTTTTCTTTTTCTGGAAATGTTTAGAAGGAAAGGGGGTGTCAAATAACAGTGCATTGACAATATTGTGAGAACTCGCATTTGCAAGTACAGTCTTTGCCTAAAAATTAGAATTGGATTTTCAGTGATGTGCACTGTCAGTTATGCTTTGTTATACGTGGGTTTCACTCACTAATCGTGAAAAGTAAGAATGCCATCTATTAGCAGATCCAAATCAAGTTTAAGCGCATTTCTGTTGGTAACATGACCGTTGGAAACGGTAGAGTGGTTGATTCGTGTGATATTCATTGTACTAGTAACCTTATTTCAAAGCTGATCTCTATTGACCGCCATGGGTTTCAAATGACTTTTTTTGCGCTCGACGGTCAATAATCATCATGGGAATGTATGTAGCGGCAAATAGAAATTGAGGTATCGCAGAAGTTTTTGTGGTTAGAAAGAGCTAAGATTACGTCATATAAAAGCCCTCACAGCTGGCGATATTATACACTTCATCATCCGCAAATTATTTGTATTGCATGTGAAATAATCATTCTTTTTCGTATGAACGTCAAAGGCGGCTATAAAATACAATGCTGTCCAGCACTTTTTTCGTTGTGGCTCCTTGTGCACGGCTAAGATATTTCGGTCCGACGGTTAATACAAAACTTACTTTACAAGTGCAAATATTGAATGTTGGGTATTACTGCGTTTGGAAAGCAATGCCTGCAGCGAAAACCCCGTTTGGGCAATGGTAATCATAACAACTCTCATGTATGCACAATATGCGTTGTGTATCATGTAGACACAAGCTATGTATGCATTGACAGTTTAGAAGGCTATTTTCCTTACTACCTAAACCATTGTGGCTAGACGGTTTGCTTTATTCGTATTGAAGACAGACAACACAAACGAAAATGTGTTTCTATTTTCAATTTTTTTGTCAGCAAAACTAAAATGGGCTATAGTAAAGTTAAGACTGCCAATAAGATAAATCTCACTCCACATAAATGTATACAGCGTCTTGAACAACATTTGAAGTATTCAAAATATTTTTTGCAGATGTAGTAACAGCTACTGTATTAGTCTATAGAGATCCATACAGAGTGTTTGGTGAAAGGGAAGGAAAATTTCAAGAAAAGAAATTTGCTCATCAGAGCCTCAGTCTTCCTCCGCTGTCTGCCGAAAACCTCGTCCAGTAGGGGTGCATCGGTCAAACTTAGTAACTTTACTTTCTTAGGCAGGTATCCTTGTCAGTTCTTCTTTCCCGTAGACCTATAAATGGCTTTGCTTGATGGTTGGGTGAGCACTGTAGAGATGTCTGGAGAGCCGAAGATAATGCCGAAGAACTAATTCTGGACGTCATCACCCTACGATCTGCTTGTGCTTTTCTCCCAAAAACGGATTCCAATTTGCTCTTCTAGACCTTCTACCGGCTGAATCAATCATTATTTTGTTCACAGATTTCAGCGCTAGTTACAAGATTGAAGTGCGACATTTCGGATTATTCAAAGCTCAAACTTTCTCATTGAATTGAAAAATAAGCCGTAAGGCACTGAGAGTAAAATTTTTCTACATTTCTTTTTCTCTTTACTGTGACTTTCGGAATGAAAACAGTATCAGCAATTCTTTTTATTTAAAAATTTTTAAATGAACATTTTGCTTACTAACAAATACTACTAGCAGTAGATTTGAACGTGTAGTCTTCATTCAATTTCTCTAAAAATTACGAATCTGTTGTCTTGAGATCCACCTATCAATCAGAATTTAGTGAGTTAGCACTTTTTAGGACATTAAAATTGGAAGCGAATTGCAGAAATGCGTGAGACAACAGCAATCACGCTAATGATAACTGAAATTTACATATCAAATGCATGCGTGAGGGTTGTACCGACGCCTCCTCCAACTACTACTCCAGGTCTGTTACTATATAGAATTTCACAATGACCTGCTTCCAACGTTATCCAACAGCTATTTGTGTTAATAGGTGTGATTTTGAGTTAAAAACGACAACCTAATCTATTAGCAAAAAGCTGAAAAATATTATTACAGTATCTGATTTGCAATCTTAAATTGCTTCAGTTGTACCAACGTGCAGATGTCCAACGAACCTCTACAATACCGGTATCTGTCCTCAAGTGGGAACCTGTTACGAAGCTCCTGATGTAAGTTTAGTAGGAAGTGAAAGACTTTGTTTTTGAAAGTTCATTCACATTTACGAGAGCCTTCGCTAATGAACTTCTGCGTTTTAGTAATCCCAGAAACTTTTGCAGGCAGTCACTTATGGTCCTCCTCCATTGTGTCCACCTACAATAAATTGCCCGAATGACTACTACATCAGAATTCAATTTACCGACGGCCGATTTTTGAATAACAGTGAGTCAGTTGCGCTTGTGTAATATTATCTGATCTGTGTTGTTAGTCTGAAAAAAAAACACTTTGTATCCTCTTTACAAAGTGCTCAGAATGGCTGTGCTTGAGACTTTGTTCCGGAATGTTAATTTTAAGTACAAAGCCGTTGGCAGCCTGCATATAATGCAAACTGATTTCTTTAAAAAATCACAGCGCAGCTCCAGTAGATTATAAATGTCAATTA